AGCGTTCGATTTGAATTCCGCAAAAACACACATGTAAAATGGGAAAGAGCTGTCGTGCGATTGATTGCCAAAAACTAAATAAGTAAGTATAGGACGTGGATCGGTCACGCATGGCCGATTCCCGATCCGTCAAATAGGTCTGGATCGGCGCCGATACCGATCCGAATATCGGTATCGGTGCATCTCTAGAAAAAATGTACTTATTTAGTCAGAGGAGCTCTGTCACCACAGCATTAGATATCACATTCCATCTGCTGACATCCTGACAGCAAAGACATACTGTAGTAACTCGACAGTGTAAACGGTGAGGCTCATTCTTCATATCTGTACTCGACAGTGTAAATGGTGAGGCTCACTCTTCAAATCTGTACTTGACAGTGTAAATGGTGAGGATCACTCTTCATATCTGTACTTGACAGTGTAAATGGTGAGGCTCACTCTTCATATCTGGACTCAACAGTATAAACAGTGAAGTCATTCTTCCTATCTGCACTTTACAGTATAAATAGTGAGGCTGATTCTTCATATCTGTACCCTCTTCTCAGCCTTAAATCCTCACATGCAAAAATGTAGTCAAAATTATGGTAGATTTAGAGTAAGTAGATGAAGATAAATTTTCCAAATGATTGAACAGAGCTATTCAGGTGAATCCAGAGTAACAAGAGGGCTGCTGAAGTTGCTGATAATTAACATAATTTACAGATCTTAAGCTTCAGCTATACCTGAGCATAAACAGCATTAGCACTTGACCATAACAAGACAGACAGGTTTTATGGTTTTCTTGGTCTGTTCATAACTCTGCCTGTTGGAGGCAGTGCACGCTACATGCATTCATAATATAACTTGGCCATAACTCAAGCAATGTTTCATGATGTGGTGCCACCCTGCTGCAGGCTTATGGCTACCATTAGGGGTGTAGATTTGTTCTTATTACATACATATTTGCAACAATGAGGCCAGAAACCATAGCAAGCTGAAGACAACCCATGAGATGTGCATCACACCTATAGGGCTGTTTGAATGTGGCTTAAACCTTGCCCATGTATTCATGAGACAACAGTTATGAGTGAATGAATGGACAGCAGTCCAGTGTGCAGAGCCAAGTGAAACTGGGTTGAGCCAAATTTACATTACACATAACAGAAACTAACAAAAGATCTTGGGTCTCATTAGCTTTTAAAGCTATAAAAGAGTGATTCCTGCTGGTTTATTGGTTATAGACCGGATGCAAGGCATAGAACTGGAAAAATGTACCAGGAATGAGTTCATTTTGCTAACACTTTATGGCTACAAAGTCTGCTATGACCTACAACACAAAAGCCATGCTATCCAGCCATTTGTCCAGCAAGTGCAATTTGGTTAAAATGCTAATATTTCAATAAACTCAACCACCATCAATGCATGTCAGAAAAGAGGCCCTTCCTCTTTCAGCAGCATGTGTAGCTTCAGAGTAACCTAATAGTTTTGCAGAAGGTCAATGCTGCATGCAGACACCATGTAGGATACTCTGCCCTTGTCTGCCTTTGCTGGATACTCAACCCAGGCACGATACTCTGCCCATGCACGATACTCTGTCCGTGCACGATGCTCTGTCCTACTGCGCCCTGTTGGATATTTTGCCCACACTGGATACCCTTGCACGATACTCTGCTATACTCTGCCCATGCAGGATATTCCGCCCATGTAGAATATTCTGCATATGCAGGATACTCTGCCCTACTTGTACCAATTATAGCCCCTAGTGCAAACCTCCCAGGTGTAATCAGCAGATTACAGATTCAGAGCAAAGCAAAGTCTGATTTCCATAATAGGGCTATGATGTTCAGTTCACAAATGAGAAACATCATTCACTGTGCAGTTAAGATGAGACCAAAGGATAACCAAAGACATACAGAACTGAAACCACATTACACATGTGCTAAAGGATCATGTGTTTACAAATAGCAAGCAGTGCTATGTGCCAGCATATGGTACAGGCTTTGTGCCTGTCTGATAAGCTCTTTATGCAAAGCTTCCTGCCGTCGGCTTCTTGTTTTGACTACAGCCCCAGACGAAAAGCAGTTTTGCTAAATTATATATGAAGATATCTTTTACAGAACTATTAACTAATATCACATAACCCTGAATACTTTGATCATGTAATGTATAGAATGCTGTATAAACTACAAACTGTTTGTAAAGCATGTCTTGAAAACAATGTTTTGATTTATTGAGTCATACACAGTCCACAAAAAATGCTAAGCTAACCAATGACATACATTAATAAAAGGTAGTAATATATCTTATTCATTGTACTAGCACTAATCCATCTTCCTGCTAAAGATCTTTGAGGCTTTTCCAAAATCACATAATGGAATACGCACTTTATGCAGGAAGCCAGCTAATTGAATATAAATTGATACACCTAGATTTTCATGAATGTGCTTTTGGGTACGTTAGGACTCACAGGAACTACAGCAGGTAGCTGCATAAAGCTAGAAATGCGGATGGTCCCAGAAGCTGAAGTGTTATATTTATCAGAGTTGAGATCAAGCTTTTGCTTACTGTGGGCCATATGTAATATGCATGCAATTAATAACCTTAGTCTGTGAGCTGTAAAGCAAGTTCTGTCCTCTTAAAATGAGCTTTGTAGTCATACAAAGGAAACTGTGAGAACAGACATGATTGAACAACCTGATACAGAAGCAGGGAATGTCCCACATACCTACAAATAAATTAATTAATGAATTATGGCTTCAACGGAAAAACCATCTGCTGCTAATTATGCTTTAAATTTTAATAGGCCTACTATTGTGATTAGCTGGCATCCTGTGCTTCCTGGTTTAAGCTCTTGGCTTGGTTATAGACAATAGATTAGGTGTATGGATTTCAACACCAACAGTCAATACAACACAAAGTTCCCACGCTCACAAGTATAAAATTACTGGAAAATAATTAAACAATCACGTTACTATGAGTGTCTATGTAGTGCTGGATGAGAACATCGGATCGTGTAAGAATCTTAATAAAATGTTAAGTGAAAACATCTTCAAATACTGACCACAGAGATGGATCACAAAGAGCCGTGAAGTAGCGGATGGACCAAAGCGACACGTTACGAAGCAGCAACAAGACAGCAGTATCGCGTGCATGCATGAGTAATCTATCATTAACAGGCGGAATCCCTGCTAACAGAGGAGGACAGTGTTCAAAATGAAAGAGCGGAATCAGTTTGTTTTCTGTTCATGCTCAGAGTACTACTCTGAAAAGCGTTCACTTGTTTGTCGTTCATTCAGATTTATACCAGCCTGAACTTGGAAATGACGATTATGTCTAACTAATACACCTTAGAGGGTCTGTGGATTGTGGCCAGTGTTTAAATTACTATATGACATAACGCGAGTTCTGATCATACTGAAATAAATCATAAAAATACATTTCTGTCTTTTGATTAAGTTTTCATTTATCAGTATCTGCATTCTTACCTAATCTGTTCAGGAACCCTATAGATAAGACATTGTTTTGACATGAAATCGGAGCCAGTTACTAAATAACTCTGAGAAGGAAACGGATAAATGATGGGGAAGTCCCTAGGCTCTATAGTCAGTACCGAGGAAATCCTGTCTGCATTTTCAATCGTTTTAAAAAGATTCCCAAGACTTGTAGCTTGAAAATAGATAAAGGAAGAATTCCCAGTTATACCATGGAAGCCTTCGTTTATAGTGTCAGATGAGGTGCAGCTGCCATTCCATCAAGCAGCATAAAAAAGGAGATATTGTCTGTGTACTCCTCAAACAGCATTCATTATTTTTTACATACAACTCAGTACAATTATCATTTTGTACTTTGTACTTTCTGGGATATCTTTGATAAGGATGCTAACGAAATTAATATTTCTTTAACTGATAAATATTTTGGTAAATCAAAAATTCATTCATAATCTTAAGGAGCGTGTGTATGACTGTATGTGTGTACAGTTAAACTGGCTTTTTTTTTTTTTTACCGTATAACAAGGTTATTTCTTTATATGATCAACAGAAAATCATTCAGGATCGATTCAACATACGACTATGCTACTACAACTTCAAACTGACACACCAAAGACAGTGAAAGAAAACGATTATTGCTACCAATTGTCAGTGATATTCGCTGCGTTTTTACATTTGAAATTATTTTATTAGAAGCATTAAGTATTTCAATTTGTCACCAGCACGGCTATCTCACGAGACACAGAAAGACCGACCCGACAAACACCCACGGAGACCGACTACTTTACACTTTAACGAACCTAATTACTATTCGTTGCTTTCATTTAACAGTGTTAATTTTGGTAGCTATCAAAAAGACCACTCTTTGAAATATTAATGTCACTTATCTGTATTCTGTGAAAAATCTTCTCTACCACTTTCTCTATAATCTGTGGAATCTTACGATATATGCATTACATAAACGTCTTAATAATTTTAACATGGGTGCTACAAAGCAGCTTTCCTCATAATTAGGTTATTTGTTAATCACCCAGCTGTCCATCGCACCATCATATTTAAAGTCACATTTCTGCCAATCTGAATGGACCACAGTGAAAAGTTATTTACACCTCTGAATCCGCATAGCTTGGTGTCATTCAACAGGTAAATAACAAATTGCAAATATCACATTTTGCTTTAAATGACACCAAAAGGGTGACCTAGGACCGATGGACGGACTGATCGACTTACTTTTGCCTTCTTCATAAGGAAAGACAGCTGCGCGTCCCCTACAATACGCAGAAGCCGATTTTAGCTATTTTATCGTATTTCCGAAGGGAGGAAAAAGTCGCTCATAATTGCGATCGCACATATCCCGCGTTTCCAACGTCAGTCCAGGAGAAGAAAAGCGCAGAAAAGCAGTTTTTTGTACGTGTGCATAGATGTGTATGTCCGCATTTGGGAAGGAGAGAGACGCAGATGAAATGTGAAAATGCAATTTGATCACAAGCGCTTTTATACGCTCCGGAGAACCGCCCACGGCTCGCAGGGAGCAGCGCGAGGAGCCAGTTCTGTGTCCCCCCCCCAGAACCAGCTTACACACCAGTCTTCCTCCGGTAAGCAATACATACGTATTTTCGTATATACGACAAGTTACATTTATCCCACCGGCAGAGGCCGCGCCCCATCGCTTCCGTGGCGTCATTCCAATACTGCGAGCTGTCAACCGAACAAATGCTTGGGAGACTTTTTTATACATAACTATTTGATTCATCAAATGTATAACTGTTATTTACAGTTATCTTGCTAAATTCAGGTAATGATTATTAATGATTATTTTTTTATGTAATTTTCATGACGTTCTGTTTGAAACGACAAATATGCTTTATACACCAAAGTGAAAATAAAGGTCTTGTGATTATTAAATGGTCTTTGCTGATATTATTAATTTACACTTCACAGTAAAATAAAAGCAATAAATGTTACCATCCCCGGGGAGTTGGAGGGCCCCATGGAGTTTTTGGCCTTGGGCCCCCAGAGTCCCTAGAATCGCCTTTGGGTAGGGGACACCCTAATTGGCACGGAATACGACAGTAAATTCCAGAAGATTGGTACCCCTTCAGAGAAACTGAGCAAAAGCATTAATATAATGTAGATGAGGGTTCCCAAATTCCAGTCCTAGACGACCAGAATCCAGCACAGTTAACAGATTTCCTTGCTCAAACACCTTAATCAGCAAATTGCTAGGTTTAGTATGAGTGTCTGAGCAGCTTGAAGGTACTTTAGAATTTGCTTTAAGTTTCAGTTGTGACATCAAGTGAGAATCACTGAATAGCAATAGCCGACTAAATCCTTGGCATTTTTTTTAATTAATTGAAAATGTCCCAATTGTTTGATGGTTTGAGGTCCCCTTTGTTCTGGGAGTTCTGGGAGTACTCTAATTGAAGCTATTGACACTCCAGAATCAATGAGGAATGGTTCAATGAGAACTATGTAGTCCAATTAAAGGGTGCTTAACAACCAAAGATCATGTCTACCTTTGAAACTGGTGTGATTTCTCCAAGATGATGTATGAAATCATGTCTGTTTCACTGAGAAGTCATACAATGTGTATTTGCATGTGTGTAAATCCTCCATTCACTGTTTTATTGGATCTGTATGTCACTGTTTAAGGTGGAAAGTAGCTTAGTGGGAGCTTAGTGTGCCTGTAGGTCACTTATTCAAGTCCCAGAGTAATTTCATTGTGGGTTGTGAGCAACAGCAAATTTCTCCAGTTACTGCCTGACCCTGCTTTCTCAAAAATGTATATTGCTTTGGGTAACGGGTCGGCTAAATAAACATGAACGTAAAAAGTAATGTTAATGTAAAAATGAATGATGTATGCTAAGTTCACACTACACAACTTGTTGTCTTTTATCTTGACATTGTTGTGGTTTACACACTACAAGAGAGATCAGACAGGGGGGGTCACATACTGCCAGATTTCTCACCAGGAGGAATCCCCAACGAGTCTGACTGGCCTCCAAACGATAGTTTTTCATGAAAAACACCTGAGAAATGACACGGGGAAATGGCACTTCTCAGATTAGTGTCAACACACTACAAATTGTTAAAACACTTTAATGAAATGACAACAGATATGTTCGACATTCACAAGCATGTGGAAAATTAACCTTTGTATAATAGGTCCTTCAGGAAACACTATCACATACCTTGTGTCTTTAGTGCTTATACTGTATGTATCTACATCCAAAGCTTAAATTGTGTAAAGTGTAAACTTTTACACTAAGAAGAGTTATTAAACAAATTGACAGGCGAGCATTATTCATTCTTCTTGCATCTCTGCAATGCTAAATTCAAGGCTCCATAAAATGAAGGGGAGTGGGTCATTCTGGGTGATTTTTGCTTGAATATTTCCAGCCAAAGAAGAAAGGTGGTCCTACATCACTTTCCTCTGAATGTAATGAGGTGGCTCATACTTCCAGATTTGAATTCAGTTTCTGCAGCTCCCCACCCCCAGGGCTGTGTGGAGTTTAACGTACTCTCCGTATGTGTCTGTGTGTAGTTTGCATGTTTTCCCAAAGCATGTGTGTGTGTGTGGTAATGTCCGGAGTTTGCAGGTTCTCTCCATGTGCGTGTGTAGTTTGCATGTTCCATCCATGTGTGTGGAGATCGCATAGATAGACAGATAGTATGGAAAATTATTTAGCACTATACAACATAGAATATACGCATTATGGTATTATTAAAAAGCATGCCAAATACCCATGATGTAATCATCATAATGTAATCATTACAATGTAATCAACACAATGTAATCAACTGAGTATGTATTTGCACCTTGTGTTAGCCTCAAAGTTTCTGGTAGCCACTTTATGTTAGCCCTGAATGTATGAATATCCACCTTTATTAGTGTTATACCTTATCACTATGTTGAAGGACCAATATAATATCAACCCTCTAATTAGACAATGTGCAACAGGCTGAAGCTGGCAAGGTTTGCTACTGAAGGAAGGGATTCATCTGAGTTCACCAGAAGTTCACGGCTGAGCATTTTTAAAAAACCAAGTGGAGATGGTCACGCCACCATTATGTTCGGCGAAGGGACCAAACAGTAAAAGAAGTCATGGACAGACTTATCACCTAGGGGTGTGGATTAAGGGAAAAAAACCAATGAGTGTGAATGGTTGAAGGTAGACAATGCTTAAGTGACGAGATCCGACCAAGTAAGTGTCCGACCATGGTTGTAACTTCATTGTTGCAATAAAGACTGAATTTGGATCTACACGAGCAGCTTCTGACTTCTGATTTGGCGGGGAAGGAAAAGCCACAATAATAGATAGACAGACAGCTTCAGCAACAGGGGAATCTGTCTAAATACAGTTATGCTTTGTTAAGTTTGCATTCCTTGGAATCACACCAGGAGAGATGGTTTTCTGGCTGATTATAGCCAAGGGCGTAACTTTGGCTGGAACATTGGGGGGGGGGGGGTTGAGGTCTCCACCCATTATGGGAGAAAAAATATTATTGGGGGGTTGTATTAGCTGGTTTTGATTTATTGGGGGGGCTACGACCACCCATCCCCCCTGTAATTTACGCCCATGATTATAGCATTGTATAATTGACTTCTAAAGTCCATTGCTGAAGCACTTTCAGAATAGGGAAACAATTATTTTAAGTTCAATGGCCAACCAATGTCACATTTCTTGACCTACATTCTGTAGCCAACAGGAAATGTTTGACCTCTTGCACTTCAAGCAGAGGCTGGGTCACATACGAGTATAAAGGCAGAAGGCCATTAGTTCATCAAATGTTTATGTTACACATAGATCTCCAAACATTACACATCATCTTATTAATACACATCACAACTATTCATTAACACAAGACTAAAAACTAAAAAAAAAAATTAATTCCTGCAACCTTTGTCTATATAAAATCAGTATCGAATGTATGCATTTCAGTGTCTCAGTGGACCAGTCATTAAAATGAAAGGATCATGTACATTTATCTTGTTACTAAAGGTGAGCTGTTTGGTCACACATGGATATGTTTAGCTGTGTGGTCTGTCAATGTGCTAGTGCAGTTGCATCCTTCAACTTTCATCACAGAAGTGTTTCCCCTGTCATCTCTTTCATATCCATGTCATGCACTTCAGTTTAAACAGCTGAGAGACAACTGACTTTATTCAGTGCCTGACACCTGAAAAGCCAGTTTATTATCTTACATTAATAATATGTAATTATATGCATTTAGATTTCACTTTACTTGTGTGCTTCCTGAAGACCATAGTGTCAAATAAACACCAGAAAATAAACACAAACCAATGCATCGGAGGCCCGTATCACAAAGCCGGATTTCTATATAAGCCAGATAACTTGTTCGATTTAAGATAATCCAGCTTAAATGGACTTTATTTTTGTTCACTTACATTTAGCCCAGACTACCTTAAATCCAAGTGATCTGGCTAAGCAAGAAATCCTGCTTCATGATACAGGCCCCAGGCAGACAATCAGAAGATCATCTATGCTTAACTTGGTGAAGACTAGACAAAATCTGTGGCCTTTGAAAACATTTGAAACCTTTCAACAAAGTTCAGTATGGTGGCTTCATTAATTAGACTGAAATTACATATTTCCATGTGTTGGTCATGGGAAGCCCCATGGTATTACCAGACACAATAACTATTGGTGACACTTTTTATGAATGCCATATCTGTATCAATCTATGAACACTTTCCGAACACATTATAATGCATTCATAAAGCATTATAAACATGGTCATAAATATTTATAAAAAGCCATAGCACATTATAGCCATGTTAGTTATGCATTATGAATTCTTTATGAAGCTCTCATCTATAATGCACTCTATATACCTTCATAATGCAATACAAAGCATCATTAATTCTCAGTGCTTGGCCCCTAATGATACTGACAAATTCTGACAATTACAATAGGTGCCTTTCACCTACAGTGCTTGACCCCTAATAGTAGTGGATAATTATGACAATTACAAATGCTGCTACACAGCTTTACCTTGTTGTTTTGTTCTACATTACATGTGCAACACAAATACATCAACAAGACCCAGAACATTACTGTAGCAGGTAAATTCTGTATAGTTTCCCATGCTGTCAGCGTTTTCACTCTCATGATGTCCCCTAAATGCCAACTCCTGTCACCCCAAGAATTAAATCACCCCTTTCAAAACCCCATGGTTTTCCCTCACCTTGCTGTTGCGTATGGCTAACTGAAGATGCCTTAATCGATCAAACTATCAGTCCTCACTAGAGCTTCCATTTTTCATCAGAAGAAATAAGGGGCCCTGATGATAAAATATGCTGCAGCATGAATTGCACAGTCCGAGAATACAGGACAAATGGCATCCCCTATTGGTTCAAAATGGGATACAGCATTTTATTTAATCACGTAATATACAGAATGGGTGCAAACTCTAATCCTCACTTTCATTAAGAGCATACCAATTCTTTGTCCACAAACCAACAAGAAAAATTGGTGCCTGATGGCTGAACTCGCATTCTGAATAAACACATGCCAATCATCTTTGTGTTGAGGGCAAACAAAAGTGCACATCATC